TGAAGATTTTTGTTTTCTTTACATTGAGATGCAACCTATACCAACGGCTGTACTCTTTGATCTTCATCAGTAAATATTTTAAGTCTTCTTCACTTTCAGCAAGCAAGGTTGTCTCATCTGCATATCGTAGGTTGTTAATGAACCTTCCTCCAATCTTGATGCCATGTTTTTCTTCATAGAACCCAGTTTCTCAGATTATTTGCTCAGCATACAGGTTGAATCAGTATGGTGAATGAATACAATGCTGTCGCACACCTTTCTTAATTTGAAAACATTCAGTGTTCCCATGTTCTGTTCGAACAACTGCCTCTTGGTCCATGTACAGTCTCTCGTTACTGAAACAAATATAGTAAAGTGATTAGAAGCTCAAAGTCTCAAATCAGACAACTTCTCTGGGCTTCAGTTCCCTGGTCTTTTAAATGGAGACAATAGGAAGACTCCTTGGCTTTGTGGGCACTGGATGGGAGAATGTAGACAATCACTGGTGCAAAGCCCAGCCCAGTAGAGACCACACCCCCTCTGCGGAGACCGCACCCGCTAGCCGTCCTTGTTGAAGAAGCTTAAAATTTCCGGATTGGTGCCTTTGTTCTGTTTATTTCCCCTCTGATGGAAATTGTGAGCTGAGTTGCTCATCGCAAGGTCAGCAGTTTGAATCTACCAGTTGTTACTTGGGGGAAAGACGAGGCTTTCTGCTTCCGTAAAGATTTACAGTCTCGGAAACCCTTACGTCGCTGAGTCGGGACTGACTCGGTAGCACCCAACCACCAATATGGCGCTGTAGGATAAGCACTGGACTGCAAGGTTGGGTTGAACTGCAAGGTCAGTGCTTCAAACTCACCAGCCACTCCTCGGAAGCCTTATACAGGGTTGCTATGAGTCGGAACCGCTTCAACCGGCACTTAATCCATTTTAGGACTCCCGGTGTGGCTCTGTAGGATCAGCATTGGACTACAAATCACAAGGTTGGCAGTTCAAACCCACCAGTTGCTCCTTGGAAACCCTATACAGGGTCACTATGTGTTGGAACCAACTCAATGGCACATAAGAACAATTCACCCTGCACACACAGTCAGATGTGTCTCTGCAGAGGGACCAATGCTAGGTTCTTTTAAGCCTGGCGGTTACCCTCTAGTCCACTTGGGTTTGTGAACTCTGTTTTTTTTTTTTTTTTTTGCTCGCAATCTCACACACACACACACACACACACTCCCAAGGTGGCACAAGCAGTAAAGCACTTGACTATTAAAGGAAAGGTTGGTGGGTGGCACCTAACCAAAGGTACCTCAGAGGAAAGTCCTGGTGATCTGTTCCTCAAAGGTCCCAAACATACTGCCACTGAATTGATTCTGGCTCACAGTGATGCTGTATAAAGTTTCTGAGGCTGTAAATCTTTATAGGAGAAGAAAGCTTCATCTTTCTCCCAAGATGCAGCTGGTTGGTTTGAACTGCCAACCTTGTGGTTAGTAGTTGTGCTTGGCCTATGGTGCCACCAGAACTGAAAATCCAGTGGAGTACAGTTCTAGTCTCAACATATGGGCCTCCATGAATAAGAATGGACTCCACAGTAAATGGCTTGCTTCTTTTGGTAAATACGCACAGAACTGTCTTGAGGTATGTTTGGGAAGAGGCTCTGGGCTTGGAGGCTCCATGGTCCATCCTCCAGTCAATGCTGAAGGGCCTCTACTGTTGTTTTGTTTTTTCTTCTTCTGAGGAATAACAGCTGTCCAGGCCAGGGCTCCCACTGGTATGGACAAGCTAGAAATTCAACCAATCAGCCCTTCAGGAGTCTTGGTGTGGTGCTGTAGGATAAGCTCTGGGGTTCAAACCCACCAGCCGCTCCTCGGAAACCCTGTACAGGGACAAAGACTCTTAAATACTGGGGCACTGTGGGTTCATGCACTGGACTGCAAAGTCGGTTTGAACCACAAGGTCAGTGGTCCAAGCTCATCAGCTGCTCCTCGGAAACTCTATATAGGGTCTCTGGTAGTAGTGGTTATGAATCGGGCTGCTAATCTCACTGTCAGAAGTTCAAAACTACCAGCTGTTCCATGGGAGAAAGATGAGGCTTTCTGCTCCCGTAAAGATTTGCAGCTTCGGAAACCGTGTTCAGGGTCGCTGTGGGTCGGAACCGACTCCACGGCACATAACAACAAGAACAATGGGTCGGAATCCACTTTAAGGCACTTAACAACAACAACAACAACTAATAATAATAATCAGGAGTCCTGGTGTGGCTCTGTAGGATCGGCACTGGGTGAGGAATCACAAGGTCAGCAGTTCAAACCCACCAGCTGCTCCTAGAATACCCTATACAGATTTGCTATGAGTCAGAACCCACTGGACAGCACTTACCAACAATTACTAATCAGCCATTCTGGAAAGGGGAGGCCCAGTACAGTGAACCAGGTGGCCCCTGAGGCCACTCATTTAAGCTTCACTTACCATGTATGTGTTTGGCACTGTGAGTCTGGCTGGTGATTTCATTACGGTCCAAGCCACAAGCTTCTTACAGCGGGAGGGGAAGGTATCCAGCACTCTCACTCCATCCTACTTCCAAGGGGTAGCCATGGTCATCGGCAGAGAGCGCTGGAGAAGGGATCCCACTGTTAAGTGCCGTCGAGTCATCGAGTCGGTTCCAACTCATAGCCACGCTATATAAGGTTTCTGAGGAGCGCCTGGTGAGCTTGAACCACCGACCTTGCAGTCCAGCACATTAACCCGCAGCGCCACAGCAGGACTAACCTCGTGATCTCCCGTCACTGATGCTGAGCTGCTTCGCCCGTCTGGTGGTCCCCAGCCGGGTCTTGCCCATTGCCGTAGCGACTCCTCCCCTGGCCCAGCCCTTGGGAAGAAAAGGGGCGTGTATTCCTTTAAGGGGGCTGGCCTGGCGGGAACGCGGGGGGTTTGTCGAGAGGCGCTTCCTTTCTGGCCATTCAGATCCCCCAATCTGCCTGGTGTCTCGGACCCCAGCAGCCCGTGGCCCCGAGCGCTCGAGTCGTCGAGGAGCTGTCCGGGGACGGTAGGTGGCTGGGTGTGAGTCTAGTCAGTCTCCGGGGGCCCTCTGCAGCCAGGTTCCTCCTTCCCCATTTTGGGTCTCCGGTGCATCTCCCCCAGATCAGGCTGGGTCAGGGGAAGGGGGCGGGTGGGGAGACAGCTGTCGGCCGGAGCTGGCAGTACTCGTTGGCTGGGGGTGCCCCGGGCGTTGTGGGGTGGGCCGACTGGCTCGGAATCCGCGTGTGCAACGCGAGGAGGCCCATCCGAGCTAACCCCGTGGCATCCGAGACCACGACCCAGCTCCAGCCCCCTTCCCGCCGATGGCTGCCTGCCTTCTTCTCAACCTGTCCCTGAGGTCGGCCCTACAGCCTCCAGCTCTCCGCACCGCGCGGGGCTCTGCTCCCGGGCATTTGTGGGAATGCTCCCAGTGCGGACCTGTGCTCCTGGCCGTCCTCCCTGCTTAGCCCCGATCTGCTTTGCTCGTCCCAGGGCCAACGCAATAGATGCCAAAGTTTTCCAGGCCTTGGCTCACCGAGGTGTCTACCCTAGGGACATGGAAACCAGAAGAGGCTGGGAAGGTGGAGGGGTAAAGCTTAGGTGGGAGATGGAGTCGCTCAGGGAGAAATTTAGGGCTCGTGAGTGGCCGGGAAAGAAACAGCGCTGGGCACTTGGACCTAGCCCTGGACCCTAACTCGTTGGGTGACCACGGACAGCCTCTGGCCCCGTTTGCCCCGCGGCGTACTGCGCTGACCCTCAGCAGCGCTCCTGCTGGTGATTGGGAGGCACCCTGGCCCCTCGTACGGGTCAGCGGGCTGGGAATGTTGGTAGGAAACACCTCCGACTTCCACTTTCCGGGGCCGCCGGCTTCAAAGGTTCTCTTAGCCTTGTCTAAACAGGGGGCACCTATGTCAGATCCTTTCCTGGAGCCGAGCTGACGACAACCTGGAGGTGCAAGGCTGCCCTCTGCTGGTATCTGAAGGACTTAGACACACGGCTCACCTAATGAGAACGTGTCTGGTGGGGGACGCAGATGCATGAGGAACTCCCTTCCACTCCAAGTCAGGACTGGACTTGTTATTCTGGTGTGTTGAGACACGTGATGGCCGGTCCTGAAGGGACAGCTGCAGGGCAGTTGGGTGGGTGAAGGGAGAGCCCTAGATTTGAGGATGGGAGAAAAGCCAGGCATTAGAACGTAATGGTTTACCCAAAACTGTACGACTAGCAGTGACCTGAAATTTCTTTAACCTCTACCTGCTTGCTACAGAGGAGTCTCTGGGTAAACAATCTGCTCATAACGGAAAGATGGGCAGTTTGAATACACTCAGCTGAGGCTCAGAGAAAGGCCTGGTGAACGATTTCAGAAAAATCCACCATAGAAAACCCATTGATTGGAGTCCACTCAGCAGTAACCGGTTTGACTTTTCTGTACTGTTTAGTTATCTTTGTTGGTGTTAAGTGCTGTCAAGTTGGTTCTGACTTATTGAGAACCTGTATAGGGTTTCTAAGGAGTGGCTGGTGAGTTTGAACTGCTGACTGTGTGGTTGAAACCAATCTTGCGGCCCAGTGCTTTATCCTAGTGTGCCACACTAGGGCTGCTATAATAAAAATACCAAAAGGGCATAGCTGTAACAAACAGACATTTATGCTGTATAGTCTGTTATTGTTAGGTACCTTTGAGATGGTTCTGACTCACAGCAACCCTTTGTACAATAGGACGAAACACTGCCTGTCCTACACCATTTTCACAATTGTTGTTTGAATCCACTGTGGCAGCCACTGAATTGTCAATCCATCTCATTGAGGGCTTTCCTCTTTCTCTTATCCTCTACCTTTACCAAACTTTATGTTCTTTTTCAGCTCTGGTTGTTATTGTTAAGTGCCGTCGAGTCGGTTCCGATCCATAGCAACCCTGTATAGGGTTTCTGGAGAGTGACTGGTGAGTTTCAACCACTGACCTTGCTGTTCAAACTGACCTTTCAGTTGAGTGCTTATTCTACAGTACCATACCAGGTTAGAAGTTCAAATAGAACAGTTATTCCTTGGGAGAAAGATGAGGCTTTCCACTTCCATAAAGATTTGCAGCCTCAGAAATGCTACATAAGGTCGTTATGAGTTGAAACCAACACAACAGCATATAACCACCACCACCAAGTCCTTTTTCAGGGACTGGTCCTTCCTGATAGCATGTCCAAAGTACATGAGATGACGTCTTAGCATTCTTGCTTTTAGGGAGCATTCTCTTCCAAAACAGTTTTGTTCTTCTGACAGTCCATTGGTGTATTCAAAATTCTTTACCACCATAATTCTCGACAGTTTAGGTCGTTATTGTTAAGTGCCTATTAAGTCAGTTCCAACTCATAGCAATCCTGTATAGGGTTTCCAAGGAGTGGCTGGTAAGCTTGAACCGTTGACCTTGCAGTTCAAACAGACCTTGCAGTCCAGCGCATTAACCCACAGCACCACACCAGGACTCCATAGAGTCCAATTTCAAGGCACCAGCTCTAGGGCCAAGGCTTGCTCTCTCGGTTGACTCATAGTTTGAGGAGGAAGGTTCTTGTTGCCCTTCAATATCCGTGGTCCCAGGATTCCTTGGAAGTCTCCAATGTGTGCATTGTTTTTTTTTTAAAAAGTAACATTTTATTGTGTTTTCAGTAAAGGTTTATACAGAAGTTTAGGCTTCCATCCAGTAATTTCTATGCAGATTGTTCAGTGACATTGGTTACATTTTTCATGATGTGGGCATTCTTATTATTTCCATTTTGGTTCTGTTTCCGTTAATCTAATTTCTCTGTCCCCTTACACGCTTACCTTTGTTTTTAAAGTAATCTTTGATTATTTGGTCTCATAGAAGTGACTTTTTAATGGACCATAGTCTTGGTGTGGCTCTGTGGGTTAATGCACTGGACCATAAAGTCAGTTTAAACCACAAGGTCATTGGTTCAAGCTCACCAGCTGCTCCTCGGAAACCTTATAAAGGGTCGCTATGTGTCAGAACAGACACGATGGCACTTAACAAGTGCTTGTGGGCGATACTCATTATTTTTTGAGCCAGTTTGTTATGTAGCTACAAGATGACTTCAGGGGTTCCTTTTAGTTCAAGATTTGAAGAGTCTCTGAGAAATAGTCTCAGGAGTCCTTCAGTCTCACACAATCCAGTACGTCTGTTATATTTTTTGTTTCTTAGGAATTTGAAGTTCTGGTCCACATTTTCTCCCTTTTTTGTAGGGCTGCCAATTGTGGATCCTATTAAAGCAGTCAGTAATGGTAAGAGGGGCACCATCAAGTTCTTCTGGTCTCGGGGTAGATGAAACTGTGGGTCACGTAGACTATTTTAACTATTAATAATTTCTTCTTTGAGTCTTTTGTTTCATTTTTGGTTCTCTTTTGCTCTGGATGAGTAGATACAACAGTTGTGTCTTCCATGCAACAACTGTTATTGTTGTTGTTAAGCGCCGTCGAGTTGGTTCAGACCCATAGTGACCCTGTATGGGGTTTCTGAGGAGCAGCTGGTGAGCTTGAACCACCGACCTTGTGGTTCAAACCAACTTTGCAGTCCAGTGCATTAACCCACAGCACCACACAATGTAACGATCTTTTTTTTTTTAACTTTTTATTGTGAATTGAAAGCAGATCATCAGTTTTACATTCAACAAATCATACCCTTGGTTTCATCTCAATGATTGCAAGCCTCTTGTTTCTTGTTTCCATTTCTTCTTTCCCAACACTTCTGAATTTTGTCAAATGGCTGACAGTTGTATGGTGTGCATACCTCTCTAGTGTTAATCTCAGGCGGTTATCTGCTCTTGTTGGTTAGTCCAAGGAACTTCATTTAGTATGTTTTGTAGAGTTAGTTTAGTTTTTACAAACCCCTTTGATTTCTGTTTTTCTGAAAATGTCCTAATTTTGCTGTCGTATTTGAGGGACAGCTTTGCTGGGTATATGATTCTTGGTTGGCAATAGTTTCTGTTCAGAGTTTTGTTGGAATTTGTCCTCATCTATTTAACAAATATTTATCATGCATCATGATAAATATTTGTAGAATAGATGAAGTCAAATTCCAACTTCTTCTTCTAACCACCGAGCACTCTTCTCTGGCTTCTGCACCTCTGCACCTTTGACAAGTGATTTTGCATTTCTGAACCTCAGTTTAGCACTTAAGAGCACTTTCTACAATACAAGGTGTTTTGATAAAACTAGGACTCCTGGTGAAGAAGTTGTAAAGACATTTCTCCCTATGTTTAAAACAAACAAAAAAAAAAGATTGAGAAGGTGGCTTCACCTTGGGTCTGATTTTGAATTTTGATACGTCTAGTCTCTACTGGAATGAAATGCCCCCAGGACTAAAATAGGGTACACTTGCCAGCAAGGTGAAGGCTGCAAAGGGCATACAGATGACCATCAGTGGATTCCAGTGAGCTTTTACAAGCCTGGGGTTTCATATTAGGGTCACTTTTGGTTTTGCTAGCACTCTGGCTGCACAGTTGCATGCTTTCTGTAGTTTGCCCAAGCCTGTTTTCTCCCTCAAATGCATTTTCACCCCATACCCCCCACCCCCAAGGAAACAACTATCATATGTGGCAGAGACACTTGTATTTGCTCATTTCAGGGAAATCCTTTCTCATACCAAAGCATCTGCTCAGAATGAGCTGTTTTAGAGGCTGGGACCATTGCAAGCAGAATATGGGGGCCCCTCCCCTCCCTATCACACCGGATGTGAGATAATTCTGGGTTCGGGTGCTCAGGCATGGGGTGACCCCGAGACATCCAGCTCAGCCTCCACAAGCCCTTCGCTCCTCTCTCCACATCCCTCCTGGTTCTAAATGCAAAGACTACCCTCTTTTCTGGACCCTGGTGTGGTGCTGTAAGAAAAGCACTCAACTGCAAGGTTGGTTTGAATTGCAAGGTTGGCAGGTCAACTCACCAGCCACTTCTTAGAAACCCTATGTGGGGTCGCAATGAGTCAGAACAGATTTTGACAGCACTTAACCTCGACAACACTTCCTTCCTCTCTCCCTCCTTTTTTCTCTCTTCCTCCCTTTCTCTCCCTCTCTCCCATCTTCCCCCTCTTCCTTCTCTCCCTCCTTCCCCTCTCTCTTGGTGTTTTCTTCCCCTTTGGCTCCTGTACACAGGCATTCAGAAAGCCTCATGCTAACAATCATAGCACAGTGGCAATTTTATGCCTTGCTTTGCCCATCTTAAATTACACCCCAAGCATTTAATTTCCTTTTATACATAATCATTTCTATAGTAGCAAATGACTGGTCTTACTTTGTTTACACTGCCCCATGGCCCACCCTTCTCTGGAGGGGTGTTTCTAGGATGTAGGTCTGATCCTGTGGCCCTTAGCTTAAAGCCATCCTTGACACCTGGGACCTTTGGGACAGAGGACAGACTGAGTCACTTAACTCCCGAGGGAACCTGGACAGTGGTCTTGCTGGTTCTTTTCTCCTGCTCTTCCCTGTGTCAGTGTGGGTCCTGGCAGCGAGTCAAAGTCCCCCCAGCTGGTCATCATAAAGATGCTTTAGTGAAGGGACTGCTTCTGGAGGGCAGAGTGAAGGGAAGAAACAAGGAGGTGGGGGACCCAAAGACAAAGCAAAGCATTCTCTGCCCCCGGATCTGGAAAGGAAAGAAGATTTACAGAGGCCAAGAAAGCGGGAACCCAAGGTGTTGTAGAGATGGCATTAGTCGGAGACTCTGGAATGGGGAGGGAACAAGTACCTGTCTCCTCTCTCCCCACCTGCTCACCCCCTGTTGTTGGGGCCCATTGCATGATCCATCTGGAAGCCACAAGGTCAGGGAGCCCAGGAGAAGTGACCCTAGGGACCAGAGTCCAGCTGACAAGGGCAAATAATGGGTCTGGGAGAGTGTGGGAGCTCAGATGGAGACCACTCAGCACTCTTCTGATCTCTGCACCTTTGCTTTTGCTGTGCCCACTGGTGGCAAATCCTTTTCCACCTGGCTAACTCCTGTTTCCTGCTGTAGCTCTGTAGGTTCAGCACTGGACTGCTACCACAAGGCTTGCAGTTCAAATCCACCAGCCGCTCCTCGGAAACCCTATTATAGGGTCACTGTGAGTCAGAACCAACTCAATGGCACTTAACAACAACAACAACACCTGTGTGTCCAATTGAACTGTCATATTCCTGTTCTGTCTCCAGGTCTTGGTACGCACCACACAGCATTGCGAAGGCCTGACTGTGGCTCTTGGCCCCTCCTCTAATTAGTTTCTCCTCTTCTTTAAAAAAATTTTTAAACTTTTTATTGTGAACTGAGTGAAAATTTATAGAGCAGATCATCCATTTTACATTCAACAAATCGTACATTTTGTTTCATCTCGAATGCAGTCTCCTCAATGTAATATCACTGATGTCACTTCCTCCCTGGGTTTCCTGTTTCCATTCCTCCTTCTTTCCCCACCCCTCTGAAAGTTGTCTGATCGCCAATGGCTGACCATTCTATGGTGTGCCTATATCACTAGTGTTGTTGTCCCCCTCCCCCATATATGTATCTATTGCTTGGCTGAAAATCGAACCATTCACCAGGGTGGGTTCAGTTCCAGACCTGAAAAGTGACCAAAGATCATAGGGCCCCACCAGTCTCTATCTGACCAGTAAGTCTGGTCTGGTTTTCATTTACTTACTTATTTTTGAGTTTTGTCCCACATTTTCTCTGGTAGCTTAGTGGTTATGAATCGGGCTGAGAACCGCAAGGTCAGCAGTTTGAAACTCAGCTGCTCCACAGGAGAAAGATGAGGCTTTCTGCTCCCATAAAGATTTACAGCCTCGGAAACCCTGTTCAGGGTTGCTATGGGTCGGAACTGACTCGATGGCACTTAACAACAACAAATCCAAACCTTGTAATGTGATCTCTTTCAGAACAGTGGGCTCTAGTAACTGAGCACCATCTGTTTCTTCTCATCTCCGGGTTGTGGAGACTGATTTTCAGGTAACTAGTTGTTTCCAAGCGTCTTCAGTTTTCATTACTCTTCTTCCTCAGTCCATGGGCCAGAGTCCCCAGCTGCCACCGCCTCTGCTGTTGTCTTTGTTGTTGTTGCTTTTCCAGGCAGGGATCCCACACTCCAGTCATGTTCTGACTTCTTGATGGTCCTAGGATCATAATGATAGAACCTCAGGTCTCCAGCAGAAGAGCTCAGCTCCTCCTTTATGTTAGAAAAAGTTTTAATTTTTTTACTATGGTAAAAATATACATTAAAAAGAACATTTGCTGTTTCAACATTTTTATATGTGTGATTCAGTGACATTGACTATGTTCACTATGCAATTATTCCCATTATCCTTCTCCAAATGATTCCACCACTGTTAACCAGTCTTTTAATCTTTGAGACCCCTTAGTAAAGGCAATGGTGGGGCCACATCTTAAGCTGGGTTCTCTAGAGAAGTAAAACCAATGATGCTTATAAATGTCTATTTATAGTTGTTGGTAAATGCTGTCCAGTTGGTACTGACTCATAGTGACCCTATAGAGGGGTTCCGAGGAGCAACTTGTGGGCTTGAACTGTTAACCTTGAAGTTAGGAGACCAATGCTTGTTCTATAGTACCAGACCAAGATAGATAATCACATAAATCTTAAGCTTTCTCTGTATTTTTTAATCCCCCTCCCCCATTGTTCCTTTAGCAAATGAATACTGAGAGATTTGTCGTCAAGCTCAGTAATTCAACCCTCCATTGGGTTCTACATCTTTGCCTACTCAATGCATTATCTGTTTCTGAAGTCTTAGTATTAATCCTCTGACTTTCTAATTGGTGTTTATGTAGGGTTTCCAGCTTTTCATTTATTTGGTCAGTTTGTTTTTGTAGTGTATTCCGGAATTCTTCTAAAGTTCTGTCTGTGTTTTCTTTGATTTCACCTACAGTATTCTCGACCATTCTCTCAATACCTGAATATCATTTGTTCAATTTCTTATCCAGTAGTTCTGATAGCATTTCTGGCATTATATTTTCTGACTCTGTATTTTGGTCACTTGTTTCTTCATGTGAGTTGAAACCGTTTTCTCTGAGACTGTGGTGTCGTATTTATATTTAATTGATGATTATATGTTGGTATGTCCTGGTAGATGTGATAGAGACTGGAAATGTAAACTCCGTACTCTGTTCCTGTAGTGTAGTTCAGGGAGGGTCCATGTGCATTTCAGAAGCAGGGGTGGTACCCCCAGTGCCTGACCCCAGGCAGAGCCCAAGTTGCACAGGACGGGGTGCCACTGGCTGCTGGGTTGGCACAGGCAGGGACTGGACACATCCCCAGTTCCCAGGAGGGAACAGAACTGGGGGAACTACAGTCCTTTTGCCTACCAATTTTAGCTGTGACCTTTGCCTGCTGGTCATAGTCAACGCAAAAGTTCAAGATGGCTTCCCTGCTTCACGCCAGCTGACAGCCCACCCATTTTTCTTCTCTCTTACTGCCCCTTTCAGCTTGCTCTTCCAGTCGGCATTCAGTCTACCTCTCTGTCCTAGCCTCTGACACTCAGGGTTCCAGGATCACCATGCGTATCGGTTTCACTTGGTCTCCCATGTCTTTACTGCTCAGTGCGTCTGGTCAGCCTGCTCTGCCATCTTGCTGGGGAAACTCTCACAAGCTTTCAAGATTCTAAATGCTACTCACTAAACTAGGCTACAGATGACATATTTTAATGTAATATTGAAAAAAAAATCAGATCAGTAAATGAAGGCCCACAGGCTGGCTTCTTGTTGTATTTGAGCATCCACCAAAACTGGAATGCTTAACCATGGTGTTTGTTTGTTTTTTTAACCTGGACCCAGAGTAAGAGATACATTTCACATTGTGGCACTCTCAACCCCCCGTAGAAATTTCTGGATTGAAGTAAACATTTCACAACTGCCCTTTAAAGCCGTGTTGTCTGTAATCTTTGTGGAAGCAGATCGTCAGGCCATGCTCCATGGGATCAAACCACCTACTGTTTAGTTAGTAATTGAGTGCAAACCGCGTCTGACACCCACGGACCTTGCCTGTTGTGTAGCAGGTCTCTGTAACTGACGGTTGAATGGATGCTGGAACAGAGGGCTCCGGGCTGCTCTAACTGGCTTTTTTTTCTCCTTCAGTTGTCCATGACAGTATGAAACCCCCATTCCTGGTCCTGTTGCTCCTGCTGGCCTGCACCTCTGGACTGCCCTTCTATAACGGCTTCTACTACTCCAATAGCCCTGAGAGCTGGGGCCCTGGCCCCGGCCATGGCGAAGGTAGGTGGCTTCCTCGGCTCAGCCCTTTCCTCCATGGGCCCTCCCTACCTTCACAGTGATATATGCAAGGTCCAGGCTGGGGCAGGATGAGAAGTTAGCAGTCCCTTTGCCCTCTGGACCCTTGTAATGGACTAGTCTTGTTTTAAGATGAGAAGAAGGCATGGTTTTGGCACTCTGTATTTGCTAACCCCTCAGGCCCAGAGCCACATTTATTTAAGAATAATTGTTTGTGTTTTCTATACTTTCTCAAAGTCCTGGCAGTTTTCCACGATTTAAATGTGAGCTCTTTTGTAGTTGTGGTGTGGTGCTGTAGGATAAAGCACTGGACTGCAAGGTCAGTTTGAACTGCAAGGTCGCCAGTTTAAGCTCACCAGCCACTCCTTGGAAATCCTTTACAGGGTTGCTATGAGTTGGAACCGACTCGACAGCACTTAACAACAGTAGAAAGAGAGTTTAGCGTCTATATTAGACAGGTTACTAGCCATGTGTAAACCCTTTGTGCCACCCAGGGACCCTGTTGTTGTTAAGTGCTGTCTAGTCGGTTCCAACCCATAGTGACCCTTTATAAGGTTTTCAAGGAGCGACTGGTGAGCTTGAACCTCTGACAAGCTCAAAACAACTTTGCAGTCTTGCTCATTGACCCACAGTGCCACACCAGGACTCTCTCTCTCTCTCTATATATATATATATATACATATGTATCTATGTTTTTGTTAGGTATCACTGAGTAGATTCTGACTTACAGCTACCCTATGCACAACAGCTACCCTACTCACCGTCCACCCAGTAATATTTGAGCACTTGGTTGCAGCCAGTCTGTCCATCCATCTCACTGAGGGTCTTACTCTTTTTCGTTGACCCTCTACTTCTACCAAGCACGTCCTTTTCCAGGGACTGGTTCCTCCAGATAACATGTCCAAAGTATGTCAGATGAAATTTTGCCATCCTCGCTTCTAAGAAGTCTTCTGGCTCCACTTCTTCCAACACAGATGGGTGAAGAATATTGAATACTTTCTTCAAGAATACTTTAAATGTTCTTTACCAACACCATAATTCAAATGACTAGATACCTTATTCATTGCCAAACTTTCACATACAAACGAGGCAATTGAAAAGACCATGTTTTGGGTCAGGTGTTCCTTAGTCCTGAAAATGATATCTTTGCTCTTTAGTACTGCAAAGAGGCCTTGGGCAGCAGATTTTCCTAATGCAATATGTCATTTGATTTCTTAACTGCTGTTTCCATTAGTATTGGTTATGGATCCAAGTAAAATGAAATCTTTGACAATTTTAATATTTTCTCCAGCATTTTAGATTTGTGTGTGTAATGAGATTTATTTTAAGGAGCTGTGCATGTGATCGTGGAAGTCAGCAAATCTGAAATCCGTAGGGTAGCTAGAAGCTCGGGTAGGAGTTGGTGCTTCAGTCTGGAAGCAGAATTTCTTTTTCTTCAATTTTGTTCATAAGGCCTTCCAACTGATTAAACAGGGAGTCCTGGTGTGGCGCTGCCGGATAATGTACAGGAACCCCAAGGTCTGTTTGAACTGCAAGGCTGGATGTTCAAATCCACCAGCTGCTCTTCGGAAACCTTATACAGGATTGCTGTGAGTTGGAGCGGCCTCGACAGCATTTAACACCAACAATGTCCACATTCCTGAGGGTAATCGCCTTTCCTCAAAGACCCTGATTGTCCTTGGTAACTATATTACCACATCTTCACACCAACATCTGACTGAGTGTCTGATTGACGACTACTAAAAGTACCGTGGGCTGCCAAAAGAACCAATAGATCTGTGTTGGAAGAAGTGCAGCCAGAGCGCCCCCTGGAGGCCAGGATGGCCAAACTTTGTCTCTCGCACTTGAGATTAGGAGGGACCAGTCGCTGGAGAAGGATATCATGTTTTGTAAGGTGTAGGGTCAGAGAAAAAGAGGAAGAGCCCCAGCGAGATGGATTGGCCAAGTGACAGCATTGATGGATCCAAGCGTGGCAACAATCGTGAAGTTGGCAGTGTTTCATTCTGTTGTCATAAGGTCACTGTGAGTCGGTACTGACTTGATGGCACCTAACAACAACAACAACAGGCAGTACAACTGAGTTGTCTAAGTTACCTAGTGTGGCTGTAAAAACAAAACAAATAGACTACAAGCGAATGACTTTAAGAACAGAAATTTACTTTTTCACAGTTCAGGAAGTTAAAAATCCAAATTCAGGGTATGGCTGTAGAAGGAAGTCCTTCTGTGTGTGTATCTTAGCTTCTCGTAGCTGCCAGCCATCCTTGGTGTTTGTGGGCTTGTCGAGATAGCTTTCATCCGACTCTGTCTTCCCAAGGTACCTTTCTCCTCTGTGTGTTTCTGTGTCTATCCTGCCCTTTTTATAAGGGATGCTAAAGGGAGTTTACAGGTGCACAGCGGCTCTATGGGATAGGCACACATCTGCGAACCACAAGGTAGGTGGTTTGAGCCCACAACTCTGCTCTGCGGGAGAATGATGAGACTTTCTGTTCCTGGAAAGATTTACAACTTCGGAAATCCTGTACTGAGTTGGAACCAACTGGATGGCACTTAACAACAACAAAACAACAAAGAGCGTTAAGGAGTTCCTGGTGGCACAGAGCTCCTGAGTGTTAGCCGAAAGGTCAGTGGTTCGAGTATACCAGTCACTCCACGGGAGAAAAGATCTGTGATCTGCTCCTGCAAAGACTGTTGTTGTTGTTAAGTGTCGTTGAGTCGGTTCCTTCAAGTCGCCATAGCGACCCTGTATAGGGTTTCCGAGGAGCCGTTGGTGAGCTTGAACCGCCGACCTTGCGGTTCATAGCAATTTTGCAGTCCAGTGCATTACCTATTTTGTCTTATAGCGTTATTATATGAGTTCGAGTCAACAACGCACAGCAACAACAAAGGGAGTTGGGGGACAACAAAGGAACTCTCCCCTAAACAATTGTCCCAGCTCACTTGTATTGGGCATCTTCTGCGTTTCATGTGTTCTGCCCCCACTTTTAAAAATATCACCACAGGCATTGTTATTGTTAAGGTCCATCAAGTTGCTTCTGACTAATAGCAACTCTGTGTAGGGCTTCTGGGAAGTGGCTGGTGGGTTTGAACCACCAACATTGTGGTTAGTAGTCCAGTGCTTATCCTATAGCACCACACCAGGCATCACACACAGGTGTTATTGTTAAGTGCCATTGAATCAGTTCTGACTCATAGCAACCCTGTATAAGGTTTCCTAGGCTGTAAATCTTTGCAAGAGCAGAAAGCTTCATCCTTATCTGACAGAGCACCTGGTAGAGTCGAACCGCTGACTTTGTGGTTAGCAGTCCATTGCTTTTCCTACAGAGCCGCATCACTCCCACAGACACTGTAGGTACCTACGAATGAGGAAATGGAGGCTTGATTAGATTACAAAGTTGCGAAATGGTGGCACTCCAGCGTTTATTACCCTAAACCTCTGTGCAGGACTGGGTTTCCAGATCAGGGATTTTCTAGCTGAGTAAGTGAGCCACAGGGTCACCCGGAGGGATTATTTGAACAGAGCACAGGGTCCCACCCCAGAGGTTCAGATTCAGTAGGTCTCAGGTGGAACCCAAGAGTTAACACTTCGAATCAGTTCCTGTGATGCTGAAGCTTGGGGACCATGACCCTAGACAACTGGCATGTTGGGTACAACTCTTTTCAGCATGAGATCCTCTTCTGGAGCTTGTCTGTTTACCTCCTAGCTTCTCTCCGATACTGCCCCGTCTCTGAATGCCTCATGCCTGTCTTGATGTCCAGCCCCAAGGGAAAGAGGCAGTGAGATCCTTACAAAAGAACAAAAACACAAAACAAAACAAAAAATCCAGTTGTCATGGAATTGATTCCCACTCATGGCCAACTCCATGTGTTTCAGAGAACTGAGCTCCACTGAGTTTCTAATGGCTGTAATTTTACAGAAGTAGATCCCCAGAACTTTCTTCTACAACACCTGTGGGTGGGTTTGAACTGCCAACCTTTCCGTTAGTGTTGTTGTCAAATGCTGTTGAGTCTGTTCTGACTTACAGTTTCCCTGTGTAGGGTTTCAGAGGTGCAGCTTGTGAGTTTGAACTGTCAACCTTGTAGTTCCAACTAACTTTGCGATCGAGTGCTTATAGTACTGTGTCACACTAGGATCCCCAAGTAAAAACCCTTTTCATAAGTCTGGGAGTGAGGTCTCTCCCTACCTGTTGCTGTCGAGTTGGTATTGACTCATAATGACTCCTAGTTTGCCTGTAGAGCAGAGGAGAACTGTCCTATAGGATTTCTAAGGCTGTAAACTTTAACAAAGCAGAATAGTGTATCTTTCTCTTTTGCAGGGGCTGGTAGGTATGCATCACTGACCTTTCAGTTAGCAGCTGAGTGCTTAACCACTGCACCACCAGAGCTCCTTGTGAGGTCCAGTGTTGTTAAGTGCCATCAGACTCATAGCGACCCTGTATAAGGCTTCCACGGAGTAGCTGATGGATTTGAACTGCTGACCTTATGTTTCTCAGTCCAGTGCTGATCGTACCAGTGAGACCCACTGTTGTTGTTATTAAGTGCCCTTGAGTTGATTCTGACCCATAGCGACCCTGTAAAGGGTTTCCAAGGAGCAGCTGGTGAGTTTGAACCACCAATGTTGCAGTTCAAACGACTTTGCAGTAGCGCATTAACCCACAGTGCCACACCAGGACTCCGTGAGGCCCGCTAGAGAGGGCTAAAGATGAGTTTGCCTTGGTCTATAAACTTGACTCTTTTGTTGTATTTTATGCTCTGTGTTTGTTACCACTTACTTAGTCGCCTCTCGATGTTCTGGCCTCATCTTACCAGTGCCACTGGGTGTTTGGGAAGAGTCAGGATGCACAGTTGGAGGCTGTGTTCCCCGGGACCAGTAGGGAAGGAGACACTGGGGGCATCGAGCCGTGGCTGCTAGTCCTCACCACCTACCTTTTGTGGAGATGTTCATGTTGCTGCCTGTTACTTCATTTAGTTCCTTACATTAATTGTTTTTTCAATCGAGGGTGAGATTCATATAACACAAAATTAGCCATTTTTAAGCTCAGAAACCCTACACAGGGTCCTCATGAGTCAGAACCAACTTGACTAAACACACACACACACACACACACACACACACACACACACACACAAGCTCCCAATTTAGTGGCATTTAATACACTCACATTACTGTGCTACTAACGCGTCTATCTAGTTCCAAAAGAAAATCCTGTCTCCATTAACACTCATGTCTCACATTCCCCTAACGACCACTAATCTACTTCCTGTCTTCATGGATTTACTTCTGGATTTATATATAAATCATATAATATTTGTCCTTTTGTGCCTGGCTTGTTTCAGTCAGCATAATGTTTTCAGGGTTCATCTGTGTTGTAGCAAGTATCACTCCTTTTTATGGCTGAATAACATTGTATTGTATGAACAGACCATATGTTCTTTATTTGTTCATCTCTTGTTGGACATGGGGGGCGGGGTTCCACCATTTGGCTGTTGTGAATAGTGCTGCTGTGAATTTTTGTGACATGTTTTTGTTGGAGTCCCTGCTTTTAAGTCTATATACTTAGGAGTAGAATTGCTGGTCACATGGTAATTGTATGTTTCGCTTTCTGAGAAAGTGCCAAATTCAGCTTTTGCTGCCTAGCAAACCACCTCAAAACATAAGGTCTAAAGACAACAGCTATTTATTTAGCTCATGATTCTGTGGGTCAGCATTTTGGGCTGGGCTCAGCTGGGTTGTTTTTCTGGTCTTGGCTGTGCTCATTCATGAACCTCAGTCTGTTGGTGGCTCAGCTTGGGGATGGCTGGTCTAGGTTGTCTTTAGCTAGGTCTCTCATCCCTCATCAGATGACCCCAGGCTTTTTTTCACGAGAGTTGGCAAGATTCCAAAAGAAAGAGAGGGAGTGGCAAGCCTCCCAAGGACTAGGCTTAGACCCGGTGCATCCAATTGGTCCAAGCAAGTGGCAAGCTTGGAGAACAGACTGGAGGAGGAGGGTGGGAGGAGCTGCAGAGTTATATTGAAGAGTGGGTGGGGACTGTGAGGAGTGGAGAATTGTGCCCATTTTTGCAGCCTATACCTGAGCCTGTAGACAGCTCGGCATGAGGAGGTGGGGTCCTGGCAAGGATACAGATGTGCTACAGCTGTTCCTCCTCAGCACCATGCTTCTCCCCACAGGTCCCTTCAATGGAGTGAAGCTGGTGGTGGAGACAGCTGAGGAGACGCTGTTCAGTCACCGAGGGGCCAATGTGACCCTGCCATGTCACTACCGGTATGAGCCAGCCCTGGCCTCCCCCAGGCACGTGCGTATCAAGTGGTGGAAGCTGTCAGAGAACGGGGCTCCGGAGCAGGATGTGCTGGTGGCCATCGGGCCGAGCCACCGCTCCTTCGGGGACTACCAAGGCCGGGTGCACCTGCGGCAGGACAGGGAGCGTGAAGTCTCCTTGGAGATCCGGAACCTGCAGCAGGAGGACTATGGACACTATCGCTGTGAGGTCATCGATGGGCTGGAGGATGAGAGCAGCGTGGTGGAGCTGGAGCTTCGGGGTGAGACCCTGACATGTTGCTTCAGGGATGTTGGCACCCAGGGGTGGGGGTAGAGGGCCCTGAGGAAACATCCATATACAGACCTTTGAGCTTTACACAGGTTCTCATATTGAATCCCCAAATCAATTCTACTATTATCATCCTCATTTTGCAGATGAGGAACCTGAGACAGAGAGAGGTAAAGTAACTTTCCTAAGATTGCAGAGCTTGTAATGGTAGTGTTGGGATTTGAACCACTATGGCTTAAGTATCTGCTACACTCTGCTCCCTTTCACCTTCGTCGTATTCAGAGACACGGTGTCTGAGTTCTCCGGTGCTGGTGTAACAGAAGCACCACACGTGAATGACTTGAACAAACAGAAATGATTCTCTTACAGTTTAGGATGCTAGACGTTTGAATTCAGAGCGCCAGCTCTGGAGAAAACTCCTTGAGTCATTTCAGCATCATAGGCCCAGCATGCCTTTGAGATCTCCATGCATCTTGACATCAGTCTTCCCCTGGATCTAGGAGCTTTTAGGAGCTTCCCAGTGCAGGGACCCCAAGTCCAAAGGATGCATGCGCTCCACTCCTGGCTCTCCTTTCTTGGTGGTAGGTCCCTCCTTCTGCTCACTTCTCCCTTCTTTCATCTTTTATTACGTAAAAGGTATTTAAAGTTATATATATATACCAGCAGGGCACACCAATGATGGACAAGCTTCAACTGAGTTCCCAGATTAACACAGACTAGGAAGAAGGAGAGATGGACTACTTATGAATATTTAGTTGCTGAAAACCTTATGAGTAGCAGTGGAACACTATCAGCACCAGAATATTGAATATTGAAACATGACGAAGATCATCAGACTATTGTCAGATATAGCGCTGGAAGATGAGCCCCTCAGGTTGGAAGGCACACAAAATAAGATAGAGGAAGAGTTGCCTCCAGAAAGTAGAGCTGACCATAATGACATGAATGGAGTAAGACTTTGGGATCTTCATTTGTTGATGGGGCACAACTCAAAATGAGGAGAAACAGCTGTAAATATTTATTAATAATTGGAATCTGGAATGTACAAAGTATGAATCTAGGAAAATTGGATGTTGTCAAAAATGAAATGGGACATATAAAGATTAGGTATTAGTGAGCTGAAATGGTATTGGGCATTTTGAATCTGACAGTCACATGGTTTACTATGCCGGGAATGACAAATTGAAGAGGAATGGCATTGCATTCATCATCAAAAAGAACATTTCAAGATCTGTCTTGAAGACACTGTCTGCACTGTGGTTGAGGATCGGCCTCCTGCGGTCTCCTGTGCTGGTGGGCTCCATGGCGTAGCCCCTTCCCACTCCTATCTCACCACCCTGGGGTTGCCGCTGTGGTTTCTACCAGGCACCAAGCAAGAGCTTGGCGGCATCCCTTGTGGCCACTCATGACTGTTACCATTACCACCTGTGTGACCCATCCAACCCGGCTCCCCATCTCTAGGCCAAGCACAGAAGCCGACAACCGGCCTCTTGATGCCTCTCCACACTCCCAGCTCCTTGAGACTCATGTCCTTGAGACTTAGGGGCGTCTTGCTGAGGGCACCCAGTCCCACCCTTTTTACTGCCTTTAAAGCCAGTGGCTGAAAGGCTAGTGGACAGGATGTGCTGGCTGAGGGCCCTGCTCTGCTGACCAGCCTCTCCTACCAGGTCTCCTGGGGTCTACTTCCAGTAACAGCTCCTGCCAAAGTGCTGAGTACCTCAGCGAAGCTGTCTCCCACCACCTGGGTCTCCCCAAGACTGACCTAGTAGGCCACTGGTGCGTGAGCTGCTTCTTCAGGAAGACCACCATCCCAATCATGGCCCCTGTGTTGGAGTCCTCAGAGCACTCAGGTACCCCCCAGACCTCCAATGGTGTGGTCACCTGTGACCTGGCACCAGGCACGACCAGGAAGCAGCCTGACATGCCGCTGGCAACTCCAGTGCTGGGCCCTCCTGAGTGCTCACCTTGCCAGCGGCTTCCTGAGGCCCCAGAAACGAGACAGGCTACTTGGAGTGGAGAACTGGTTGTTTTTTTTCACATCAAAAAACCAAAACACCAAAAAGAAGTCAAGAGAACCCCATTCTTTACTGTCTAGTCACATGCTAGCTTTCCCACATCCCATAATTGTGTACCTTGCTCCCAGTAGAAATAAACTTGCAGCCACCAGCAAAAAAAAAAAAAAGATCTTGAAGTATAATGCTGTCTGTGATAGGATAATATCCATATGCCTACAAGGAAGCCCCACCATTCGTCTGTTTGTCGTACTGTGGTGGATTGTGAGTTGCTGTGATTCTGGAAGTTATGCCACCGGGATTTTAAATACCAGCAGGGTCACCCATGGTGGACAGGTTTCACATGAGCTTCCAGACGAAGACAGACTAGGAAGAAAGAGTGACAAACTACTTCTAAATCTTTAGTCACTGAAAACCTTATGAACAGCAGAGAAACACTGGCAGATACAGTGCTGGAAAATGAGCCCTTCAGGTTGGAAGGCACTCAAAATGCTACTGAGAAAGAGCTGCCTCCTCAAAGTAGAGCTGGCTGTGATGATGTGAATGGAGTAAAGCCCGTGGGAGAAAAGCCCGCGGGACCTTCATTTGCTGATGAGGTACAACTCAAAATGAAGAGAAAGAGCTGTAAACATCCATTGAAAATTGGAACATGGAATGTACAAAGTATGAATCTGGGAAAATTGGAAGTTGTCAAAAATGAACTAGAATGCATCAACATCGATATCTTAGGCATTAGTGAGCTGAAATGGACTGGTATTGGCCATTTTGAATCTGACAACCACATGGTTTACTATACAGGGAATGACAAATTGAAGAGGAATGGTGTTGCATTCATTATCAAAAAGAACATATCCAGATTAGTCATGAGGTACAATACTGTTTGTGATAGGATAATATCCATACGCCTACAGGGAAGCCCAGCTAATACCACTATTATTCAAATTTATGCACCAACCACTAAAGCCAGTGAAGATGAAAATAGAAGAATTCTACCAACTTCTTCAATCTGAAATCAATCAAAAATGCAATAAAGATGTATTGATCATTACTAGTGAATGGAATACAAAGGTAGGGAGCAAAGAGGAAGGATCAGTAGTTGGAAAATATGGCCTTGGTGATAGAAGTGATGGTGGAGAATGCACGATAGAATTCTGCAATATCAATGATTTGTCCATTTCATATACCTTCTTTAGACAGCATAAGAGACTAATATGCACATGGACCTCACCAGATGGAATACATAGAAATCAAATTCACTACATCTTTGGAAAGAGACGATGGAAAAGCTCCATATCTTCAGTGAAAACAAGGCCAGAGGCAGACTGTGGAACAGACCATCAATTACTC